AATGATCTTGTTGTTTGTTTCGACAATTTTAACACAAAAAATATTTGTAAATTTAGTGTTGATAATAGTGATTTTATGCGTGATGGAGATTTTATTCCAACACGAATGCAAGCACAACAAGATGCTGTTTCACTTATATTTCATGCTAAGACAAGATCGAATCCTGAAAATAATGTTGGATTATTAACTTTTTCGGAGTAAGAAACTTCTTATCAGAATTTTTTTCTTTTTTATAAATATTATTATTTGATTTCAGTGGTCGAGTTGTTACTCAATTGACAAGTGATGTTGGCAAAGTCTTTTCAAAATTACATTTATTACCAGTAGAAGGAAAACTTGATTTTTGTAAAGGAATTAAAGTAGCTAATGTAAGTTATATTGTTCTTTAAAAAAAAAAGAAAGAAAGAAAAAAATCCTAATTGAAGCTGTGATTAAGCAAAACATTCAATTATCAACTCTTGCACTTCCGATTAGTCTAGTTAATTTATTCTTTTTTCCCTAAAGTATAAAAGAAAAATGTCTCTGTAGTACAATGAAAATATGATTAATAGCAGAACGAGAAAAACGCAATGTCTATTAGAGTTAAAGGTTTTTTGTTTGCAATTTGTTGAAGGAAAAAAAAAATCTTTGATATTACAGTTATTGATAAAAGATTAAAATGATAAGAATCAAATAATACGTACGAAAGATTTCTATAGAAAATTTAAGCATAAGACTTTTCACAAATCTCAATATTTTATTCAAATCGAAACTATAAATTTTATATAGTAAATATCTACATTTTATGACTTTGTGAGAATGTAGGTTACTGGATTTTTCAACAGAGTTGTAGTTCTCCTCAGGTGGCGTGAAAAGTTGACTTTCGAATTTCAACTTCAAATTTGACATGGACAAAGTTTATAATAAGAGTAATTGATTATGCAATTAGTATTTCCTTTCTGAAGACGTAAATATATGAACCAAATGTACTTTTACACACGAAAGACTTACGAATATCTCAGAATAGGAGAGACTAGAGAAGTTATAGCTAGTCCAATACACTTACACTCACATTACACATTCTCGTTTCTGTTGAAAAGCAATTTGACAAGCGAGAAGTAGAGCCTGTCGGTCAATCATTTTGAGCAAGGATTCGGTTTATTGAACGTCTTTGAGACTCGGATTCAGAGCTAATCTGAGCAGTTCTTTTGAAGAGACTTCCTTGAAAATTCTGAAAATATATCGAAATGTTTCAAACCAAAGAAAATGAGTTTGTTTCTATATAATCTGCGACAATCATTAGTAAACATTAAATGTTGAACTGATAGAATTAAAATTTATTATTTTCTTTTAATAGTTAGCATTAAAACATCGTCAAGGAAAAAATCATCGACCACGTATTATTGCTTTTGTTGGTAGTCCACTTGAAGCTGATGCACATGAATTTACAAAATTAGCAAAACGATTGAAAAAAGAAAAAGTATCAATTGATATTGTTGTTTTTGGCGATGAAGTAAGAATATTATAATTAAATAACATTAATATTGATTGTTTTTTTTTTTTATCTTTTTAATATTCAGTCATCAAAAGAAAAGTTTGAAGAATTTATTACAACAATTAATGGAAAAGAAAATACAAAGTAAAAATTATAGATAATGATGATTAAATAATTATTTATTATTATTTATTTTCATCAATCTAGTTCACATTTAATATGTGTTCCATCAGGAGATAATTTACCTGATACACTTATTAATACACCAATCATACAAAGTGAAGATGGTTCTGGTTTACCAAATGGATATTCAGCTAGTGCATTTGCATTTGGAATAAATCCTGAAGATGATCCAGAATTAGCTATGGTTTGTTGTTATCTCAATAAATTATTTTATTGTATTTTTAATGTAAAAATATCTCTAGGCACTTCGAATTTCAATGGAAGAACAACGACGTGTACAAGAAGCGGAAATAGGTCGAAGTACAGATGGTGAAGGAGGACAACAAAGTTCATCAGCAAACACAGGAACTTCTGGTAATTAAATTTCTTCTTCTTCTTTTTTTTGTTTCATGTTAATATATTATTTAATAGGTCCTTCTCTCGAAAATTTACCAGGTAGCAATGAAATGGATGTAACACGACTTACAGAAGATGAACAAATTGCATTAGCTATCCAAATGTCTATGTCACAGGCTGAAAATACGAGTATGAACATATTTCATTTCTCTTAGTTTTTCTTTTTTTTAATATTCATATCTAATTTAGATACAAACGACGTTGAAATGAAAGAAGAACCTCCGACTGCAGCTACAACTGAACAACCAGGAAAAGTTAGCAGATTTTTCTGTTATATATTTTTTCAAATATTTTTGTTTTGTTTTATAATAGACAAATGAGGAACAACAAAGTACTGATTCATTCGCAGCTTCACTTAATGATCCTCAATTTCTACGAGATGTTCTTCGAGATTTACCTGGTGTTGATGTTGATAGTGAAGCTGTACGAGCAGCTCTTGAACAAGTTCAACAACAACAACAACAAAAGAAAAATACTGATGATGATAATAATGATCCAAATAAGAAGAAAAAAGATGAAAAATAAGAAAATATTGAATGAAATATAGCACTGTTTAATCACGATGGACTTCAATGGATTTTATGTTATTGTTGTTATTTTTTGTGTTCACTCTTTTTTTTTTGCTTCTAATCATTATGTTTGAACTAACTAGCAAAATAACAACAACGCGCAGATTTGTTCCTTTCTAAAATTTTCGAAACATAGTTTCAAAACTATCTATATATAAATCTCCTTTTCTATTATTATCAGCTTTTAAAGGATAACAATAATATACTCGAATCTTTTCATATAATGATTATTTATTTGAATGAGAATTACACTAATCCTAACATGATCACCAATGTTTCATGAAAATATTAAAAAAATTTCAAACTGATATTGGATGTGTCTAGTGTTGCATCGATGAAGAAGTTTTCATTAAAACCTCCATTAGTTTATCGATACTTATTGGGTTTGAATTCTTGTTGGTGAACTGTGTTGAAACAAAAGCACGAAGAAACTAAGTTTGGACTCGAACGCTTGTGTATAATTTTCTGTAAAAGCTGTTCTTTTGTTGAAATTTATCCATAACTTGATGAATTCTATATTAATTTTTTGATCGATGATTGCATAATCCGAAATGCCATTGTTTCCAGACAATTCATGGACAAATATTCGAATCGAACATCTATCGAGAGACTAATTGAAGTTTTAATGAAAGTTTCTTCTCCGATCTGACTTACGAGGCATCCAAAGTGAGAATTTCAGATTGGCTTAGGTGAATCTAAAATTGGATACTAACATATATATATACACAAATAATTCGATTCAATTTCAGCACTGTACAGATGTCTTTGAAGAACTGAGTAAAGTATAATGAAAAATCTCGTAGAACTCAATAGGTTCTAGTTTTGGTTATAATGTCACGTACTAGGTGTCTATGCTTCCAAAAATAGATGCTTTCCCTGCTGGAATTTTCAATCGTCTCTTCGAAATAGAAAATCTGGATAGAACACTGTATATCTCGCAGGAAATCTTTCAAAATCAACAGAACTAGAATATCTCCAGATTCACCTAATATCTACCAGAAATACAAAATCGATCGAAAGTGAGTGGAAAACTTCGAATATATTCTCACTCAAATTATTTTGTCCAAATTTCATCGATTTACAGAGTTTTCCTTCTAGAGTCAATCCGTACATTTTCATCTGGATGTTTGAAAACATAGAAGAATAGGAATTCTGAATCTAAATCCAATTACATATTATTTACTAAGCGAATCCAAAATAGTTTGATGAACGCGAATCGGACCTAAATCTAGCTTCGAAAAAAAATTAAATTAACGAATTCGGAACCTGAAATTCCACTAAAAAAATAAGTAATTCAGAATATCATTTGGCGCTTTTCTGCTTCTAAAATCCGATCAGTTTCGAAAAGTATACATTTATTGATTGCTGATATCACTGGAATGAAGCAGTGTTGTTCTTAAACGTTATGATTGTAGATACAAACATGAATATTTTTTTTTTATCACGATAATATATATTTCTCTTTTTCATAATTCATTTTTCTTTCCATCGATTCAGCTACTCTATTATATAGTTTATAATCACTTGTAGATGAATTTTCATTAAAAACAAATTCATCGGGTCGAGCCGGTTTACAGGGCACAAATAAAATAGTTCAAAGTACCTATATTTACCGATTCCATACGACTATGATTTTAATATCATATTACATGTTTACAACATCAACTAAATACTTATCTTCTCAAATTCTTTTTTTCATATCAAAATACAAATCTACTATTAAGTTGATAATGAGTGTTGGGATCATATATTCTATTCAACTTTCATATTTTATTTTTTCATACGTGCTCTTATATCTTTCTATTACTTCATTTGAAAAGAAGAAAAAGATTCATAATACTCCCGCTGCTTTTGAATCACTTGAATAACATACAAATAAATTGCTTTGTCATGCAATAAATACTCATGCAAAAAAAAAAACCCACGACTTAATTTTTGTTTTTCTTTATGATTATATTCAATTTTAAAATGACGTCAGATTTATAGTTATTAAAGTCTCAGTCAGATCTCTATTAAATTACTAAAAGAGTCGCGCATGTATAGAGAGAGTCATTATGAATAATATAATATACGCACAATTTGTTTTATCTATTCTTTATCGAAAAAAAAAAAAAAGGAAGAACCAAATAAGAGAATAAAAAAGGGTAAAAGCAAGAAAAAAAAAACTAGACATAATACAATGAAAATAAAAAAAGAAAAATTAAAAAAATTAAAGAGTTTAATGTTAGTTTTCTTTTTTTTTTGTTATTTTCATTGGAATAAGCGAATTTATTAGTTTATCAATCATTAAAGAAGAAAAAAAGATCACTAAGTTTTGTTTTTTTTTTTTCATCACGAAAGTGTACTTTTAAGAAAAAAAAACACACGTATCTTTTTTTTTAATTTGTTCTATGGTGATAACTAATAACAGTACGAAGTGCAGGTGTATAATCATTATTTTCTCTTTCTCTTTCATAATAATGTTCTCGTTTACCGCAATCAGGACAAAGAATATTAGGTCCTTCAGTAAGAAAACCACGACCAACAAGTGAAGTTCGACAACGTTGACATACAAAGCAATCATTATGCCAATGACGATCTTCAAACGAGATATAACGTGTACCACCAACACCTATTGAATAAAACAAAATTAATATATTTTTAATCTTACATTTATTTCTTTTCATTTACCAGTTATTGGTTTAGTACATGCAAAACATTTTTTAGCAAAAAGTCGACCAAAACAATCGGCACAATAAGGATGATCATCACGTGATGTAAACCGTTGTGAAGCTAAAGAATTTTTACAATTCGTACATGTAAAACATTCACGATGCCTAAGAAAAAAAATATTATTAATTAAAATAATTATTTTTCAAATTTGTAATTATACCATGGTTGATTTTTGTATGTAACACCACCTTGGTTTATCACCTAGAGGTTTAAAGAGAAAATTAAAAGAAATATTAGATTTATTGAAAACATTTAAATAAAAAAAATATATATATGTATAAATGTATATACCTTAAGACAACGAGTACATTTAGTTGCAAAATGTTGTTCATAACATGGAATACAATAACTTTTTTGATCTCTTGGAATAAAACTTTTTGTACCGATAGGTTGTGAACATGAATAACAAGTAAAGCAATGTTCATGAAATTGTTGTCCATGATATTCAAGTTTTTTAGAGCCTTAATAAAGATTTATTTAATTTAATATTCATATAACTAAATAAAATGTTTTTTTTTGTTTTTCCTAACCTGGTCTAAATATTTGATGACATTTATCACAACGTGTAGCAAATTGTTGATTATAACATTCTCCACAATAAAGTTTTTCATTTACACAAGCAAATGGTTTATCAACGAGCGGTGTTCTACACATTGAACAAAAAAAACATTTTTCATGCCAATGACGATCTTTATATGAAAGATCCTTTAAAAAACATCCAAAGAAAAATATCTCATTATTTTTCATATTGTTTATCTGTATTTTTACTAACTTTTGAATCGGTACCAATTTTTCTTCGACATTCATCACATGTATTAGAAAAACGATCTTCATAACATTTAATACAATAAGGACGTTCATCTTTAAGTATATATCGTGAACCAGATAAGTTTCGATCACAATTATAGCAATGAAGTTTTTCTCGATCAGCACCACCACTATATGAATCATGTTGATGCGATGTATAACCATTAGTAATTCTTGTATTTGTTGGTCGATTAAAATCACCATCACCACTATTATATGTTACCTAAAAAATGATATATATATATACATATATATGTTTTCTATTACGTAGAAATATTAAATCCTTATTTCAATCCATATATATTATAAACACTCACATGCACTAATTCGTCTTCCATTTTTTATTTTCTTGTTATAAAATTAATTTAAACCAAAAGCAATAGTGAGATAATAATAATAATGATGGTGATAATAAGCGCATCTCATCTACACAATCACTCTATCAATAATTCTCGTGTAGAAGAAAACGAGATATTGATCTATGTGTACTTCTTTTTCTCTTTCTGTTTTTTTTGTCCGTTTTTCTTTCAAAAGTTTTATTGAACGAACAAGCAAACGAGAAGAGCTAGATGAAAGGAAGAGAGAAAAAAATTAAGCGAAGAATATATATAGGTAGAAACACACAGAGAAAGAGAGTGAGTAACAGAATAGTTATATGCAAACAGGACACAGAAGCATGTAGCCTAGAAGAGAACAACAAAATGAGTAGAAGCATAAAGGATATGTTAAGTCTTTATAATGATCTTACATCTCCCTTACACATTCATATTATGTTTGGTATGACGAACTCTTATTTTTAAGACAGAAAGAAAACATATGGGCAGTAACAATTTCTCTCTATTAGTTTGGATATATATTTGTGGACACTCGAAAATAATATTCCGTTTATATTTGTGTATATGCGTTAATATTGCAGAAATATCACCAGTAGTCACTTGAAGCTATATGAATGCAAGAAGAATAACATACATATATACTTCAAGACATTGTGTATATGTGTAATCGGAAGAAGTTTAAGCGATTCTTTTCTTTAATGATTGTTTGAATTATGAAAAAGAAAAATAAATGGAAAGATCCACTTCATAAGAGTATATTCATACATAATATATCGATCAAGAAAAAAAAAAGAATGAACATTACGATATCATCAGTAGGGGAAACTTGAGTGGTATCAAATATTCCGATGATGAGTGTTATAATGACGTGTTTGCATTGAGGACAATCTATTTATTCTTGTATGTTGTCTCAGTGTCAAATATTGAGAGAGGAATCAAAAAGAAAAGGTGTATATAAATCCTGTTTTGTGGTTTGCGTGTTCTCGGTATGAAGAGGAATAGAGGTATATGTATGAATATGTGTCAATATTGAATATTAATCGATAAGTATTTTCGTATGCTGTTCTTTTCGAATAATATTTAAGAATGATTATCGATAAAATTTGGATTAAGCACTGAATAATTATTTGGAAAACTGAATAAGACGAAAAATAATTATTTTGAATCAATTCCAATATGTTTTCTTTTTCTTGATTGCAAGCATATTGAATGTTTTTGAAAGCTATGCACCCAAAGCTGCTTTTAATATTAAATGAATACGTGCATATAGGTTATCGATGAAATGATGAACTATGAGTGTTTCTTTTTTTTTTTTTGATACCTACGTTCAGCTTGACATGGTATTGAACCTTTGACAAAAATTAATATTGTAATTATTTGAAATAATTAGATTTTCGAAAAATTTAGTTATTATTCAATATTTTTAGAAAATATCAAAAAGAAGGCAACCACAGTTTATATATCTCGTGATTGAGAATTATACCTGCGTAAAAAAAAAGAAAAAAAAAAACGTATGACAAACCCGTCCACTTCGTCGATTATCTCCATCGATATTGTGTCCTGAAATAGTTTGTTCATTGATATAATATGGTTGTTCATCATAAATATGACGTTCTTGTGCATGTGAATATGATGGTTGTTGTTGTGAATATGTTGGTCTTTGATATTGAAAATTATCTCGAGAGCCATCTGAGTATATTGTTCGTTGATGTGAACTTGTAGTTGTATATGCCATAATATTAAAAAAAAATATATCTGAAAACGATGAAAACAAATAAATAAGTTGCATAGAAATCTGACAAGCTAATTTATAATTCATATTCATATATTTCTTCTCTCGCTCGTTCGACTTGATCAATGTTTTCGTTACCATTACCTTTTTATATTTTTTTTTGCAGCGTGATTCTGTATACCTTTCTATTAATCCGAAAAGTTTCTTTTTTTTTCTTCTGCTTCTGCTTCAACCACTCAAGAGTGTGTGTGTGTGTGTGTGTATGCGTATGTTTGTGATCGGCGATGCCAAATGAAAAAAAAATAAGAGAATAAAAGTAGAAGGACGTGTTGATGTGTCTTTGTGTAATACAGAGTCATGCCAACCACAGTGCATGTATTCATTTTTGGCAAACTCAACAACACCATATCATCGAGACAAAAAGAAAAACGTGAAAAAAATGATTCTGTTGATTCACAAATGAAATAGAGGCACCACATGGTAGAGTAGGCGGTATATTCACAACAGACTCAGAATATTTGCTCAAGTCTTCAAGTATAGGTAAATGAATAACATCTAAATATATGTAATCCTTTAGTTTTCAGTCGATTGAAAAAAAGAAAATTCTTTTAAACGATGTTTAAATAAAACTCTTTACGAATACCTCGAGTGACTATAAAAAAAATATCCTGAAGATTAAAGGCACATGGATTTTTATATATGTGTATGTGTATGTGTTTTTTTTTTCATTGAAAATTAAATAGTAGTCACGAAATAGAGAATAACAGCTAATAAAAAGAAGAAAAAAAAAGAATCTTGCTAAAAGAAAGACAAAAAATGATATTAAACAGATGTAGTTCGTTTAACGCCTTTTCTTGCATTTCGTCGTGTTGTACTATCATTAATTTGTCGTGATAGATGTGAATTTGCTGAGATTTTAGTATTTATTGTGGGAGCGGGTGTTGTTGGTCTTGAATTAGCTAATAATTGTGCTTGAGATTTTGATTTGACCATTTGTGTAAGCAAATCCATATCTTCAGCACGAATTAATACACGACAATAATCTCCATAAGTAAGTGTCGGTGATCGTATTGGTACAATTGTTGCATAATTTATTTTATCTATTAGCTGTAATGGCTGTGATGAATACGATGTATCAAATGGTATACGTCTTCTTTGTTGTTGTTGGTGTTGTTTATTCATTAAAGGATTTGATACATCATTTGATGCATGTTGATAAAGTACATGATTTTGATTTGGACGATTTGTTATCGATTCTGTATTATTACTTGTTGGAGATAGTGAAGCAAGATTTAATGGTAATGCAGTTGTCATTGACAAACAATTACCCATAAGTTGACGAGTTCGTTCACGTAATTTTTCTTGTTTACGTACAAGTGCACGAAAACGATAAATAAACCAATAAACAGTTAAAACACCAGTTAATTCTTGTAAAACAAATGATAAAACAGCGCATAGGAATGAATATCCATAGGAACATGCCATCCCCTGAAAATCTTGATCAGTTTTAACCGATTCTTCAGTTGTAATTGAAACGTATAAAGTAACACCAACCATTGTTAGCAAACCTATGTATTAAAATAAAACCATACCAAAAAAAAAAAGAATCAAATTATTTTTTCAATTTCACCTGAGATAGAAAATAACAGTCCTGAGATGAAAAAAACAGCTTTTCGACGTCGTTTACAAAGACCACGAGTAAACAAAAGAATAGCCAATATTAAAAGAGCAGAGGCAGCTGTAAAACAAGCCATACTAGGTGCTGATCGATCTAATTTAAAGTCAAACGAAATGAAAAAGAAAACTTATATTTGAATTCAATTACAAAATAAAAAAAAAAGGAACCATAAAACTAAAAAAAATCTTACATGATACAGCTTTAAAACCTTTTTCTAATTTTGCTTCTGTTTTCGAATATTTAACAATCTCACATGTATATGGAATATCTATTGTTTCTCTCATACATTCTCGCCAAAGACCAATACGATGATAAGTAACATTTACAATTTTTGTATCGCCTGCTTTTAGTATTTGATTTTGTGGTAATCTTGTTTGGTTTCCATATATCCAATAATCAGTAAGTAAACAAATGGTCATAAGTGCAGGCGCAGTATAGGCACTGCCCGAAGCAGAGATCATCAGCGCCTTATGATGAAAATTACCCATCCATGCGCCGTCACTGCGCAACCGGGAAAGGGACTAGTGTTATAATCGACTAGCGAATATAATAGAAAACAAAAAGTGTCAACGAACTAAGTGTAACGAGACACAAGGGTGATAGAAATTATCATGATGTTGATGATGTGTCAAATCATCTAAAATGCAAACACACACTTATATATACCTAATGCATAAAACAAAGTCGAAGCGTTTAGAGAAAGATTACTATTGTTGTTCAATTTTGCCGTTACATTCTGAGTAGATAACTTAGCACGCAACATCTATTTCTCTCTCTCTCTATCTCTTTCTCTTTTTTGTTCAAATTATTATTTATGACTGCAGAGCATACACAACATACACATTGGACCGCTTTGCATTTGAAGTCTTTCGTTTCTTTACTAGTATTCATAGTCCTTGAGCTAATACACTACACACGAAGGAGAGAGATGCATCTATCATTAGATTCAAAGAGAAAGAACTAGAGAGAACGGAAAAGACAGAAATATTTTATTAGTATTCCTTTTTGTGCGCACACACGCGTTCCATCTCGATCGCGCGCGACACGATGAGATGTGAATTTACGATCGGATCATCCTCTCTCTTTTCTAATGCTAATACACATAAGGAAAATTGCATTTTTTTATCGCACGCTTGCTCTTTTCTTATCATTCTTTTTTCTCTTCCCTCCCTTTTTTTTCACTATTTTTGTGAGTGTCTACGAATGACGACAACTAAGTTGACGAGAGCAACGAGAAAAGATGAGTAGATACTTTGGAACAATTGATCGGAAGATAAGATTCGCTCTTTGCTTTGTGTCTTGAACAATTGTCTTTTCCTCTGTCTCTACTTCTCTCTCTCTCTATCTTTCTGATGCTCTTCCCCTCTTCTTACACTAGCATTACTAACATTCAGCCTAGCGGCAAAATCTTTCTTTACGTACGAACACTAAAATCAGGCAAATAAGCGACAAAAACAAAAGAGTAAGAAAACTACAATATAAAAAAAAGAATCTTTAATAAGTTTTAATAAAACAAAGAGTTCAGATAAGATCATCGAACTTTTCTTTTCACACACATGGTCATGGTCTATTGATTTTTATAATCAATATCAAAAATAAGATTGATTAATAATTTATTCAAATTATCTATTAGATAAATTAACAGTTTAGATCTTTAATTATTTATGAAATAAATTCAAATAGACAAAAATCTCATTATTATTTAATTCATTAAGAAAAATAAAATCAAGTTTGAATTTCGAATTTCGAAAATTTCAACTGTCAAAACGAAAGAATATTTAACAAGTTTTTTTTGTATATTTATTGATCTATGATTAAATATAATAATAAGTTTATCTCAACAAAAACATCTCAAAAAAATTTTTTGACTTAATTTAAAACGCTGTTTATTTTTAATTTTACTAATTAAAATCAGTATTTTAGAAATGATAATTAATATTGATTTTATCTAATTCAATATGTATGATTGTTCATTCATCAGTTGACAAGAGCTCCAAACATGATATATCTATTATAGAAGATACAACTCTTAAAAATAATATATTACATATTAAGACAAGTTTCATATTAGAACAAAAAGTCAATAGAGTTTTACTGCATTATATCTGTTATTTCAAAATCTCATTCATTCTTAATTTTCGACTCAGATTTACTTTTGAATTAATATCATGAGAGAAACAAACATATCAATAAACTGTATGGAGTATCATCGATGTAGCACATATCGTGGAAGTAGAATCTGAAAAATAATAATACGAACATGAATTTCTGTGATTCTTTAGCCATCAAGTCATATGAATCCAACATTAAAGTAAACTAAAAAAGATTAAGATACTTTTTACTTCGGTGACTTGTTTTAAAAGAAAGAAATCAAATGACATATGTTGAATGACATATAAAATTAGATTCACGGTGGTCACAAATCCATCTATTCTTAATCTGATTGTTTGTAGTGTGATGAACAAAAAGCAACAACTTTAACTTTTCTCCAATGGGCAAAATTTCATGAAACTTTTCATATTTTTGTAATTATATTGTTACTGAAGAATAAAAATAGTTTCCGAAAATATACCATTAGTTACAGAATTGAACGAGCTATATTTTAGTATGAAAAAATTTGAAAAATGATCAGTTAGAATAATTTCAACATTATTAATTAATAATTAGAGAAATTAGTAAATCGTTCGTTGAAACAGGAAGTTTTCATTTTCAATAGATGAAGTAAAGAATGGCTAGGAAAATCATTTATTCCAATATTACTTGACAAGCAACTACAATACAAGTGCAAGCTTTCGTACTGAAGCTACGTTTATCATCAGGCATATGAATCGATGTTTATTGTGAAAGTTTATTATATCATGTTCTGTATTATTCGTCTAATCGCTCATTGTTACCGATGTAATTTCCAATTTCGATCCTTGTATTGAAAACTAGATCGATAACAATCAACAATTAGATGAATAACAAAGAACATTGTATAACAAACTTTCACAATAAACATCGATTCATATGCCGGATAATAAACTTAACTTAAGTACGGAAGCTTGTAGAGGTATTGTGGTTACTTGTTAAGTAATATTGTAATAAATGATCTTCGTAGAAGTTCTTTACTTCATCTATTCAAAACTAGAGAAAATGCTTTTATAATAAATTTCTATTTTCAAGTATACTGTACGAAGGAGTATTGAAAACAAAATAACTCTTTATTACAGAGTTTTTGTTTTAAAACTAATTAAAATTGAACTAATATTCTATTAATAATTAACCAAAATGAATTCTCAGCATAGATTTCAAAACTTTAAAAAAATGATGCAATTTGTAGAGT